CATGTGTAAATTGATATACCTTAAGGTTCCTGACTTGATGGGGGCATCCTGCAGGAATGAAAACAGCCTCTCCAAGCTTCTGAACAAATGTCCAAGGTTCGATTCCTGAGTGATAGCATATAACCATAAAACAGTAATCAAAGTCTACAAACGTTAATTCAAACAGTTCCATAATATTAATGCATTTTAACATACCATATTCCTGCTTGAGCTTTGCTTTATGCTCCAAAGTGAGGTAAAAGATCTGATCATGAATAGGATGAACAACCTTTGCCACCAGAACAAACAATGAAAAAATGGTAAGACATTAATCTGTAAATGAAAATATATATATATAAATGACTTCTAAATATAGGCATAAAACTTAAAAGGTTGAGAAAACCTCTACTATTATTCAAATGATATTACATACTAAGCATCTAGGCATAAGAGGAATCAATATGGCCACAGCCCCAAATCCCAGTGTGCATTACTCTTCAACCAACTATTTCATCATTCTCTTTCGCATAAATTGTAGATAGCATCCTTAAAAGATCCAATGTATTCCCCAAGAATTAAGATAAGCTCTTTCATCAAGGCAACTTAAAAACAGCTAGGCTTTTTCTTTTTATTTCTTTAAACAAACTTTTCTTAATCATTCAGCAATAAATTCATTTTAAATCTGTCACTACCATGGATAAATGATTTTAATAGCCAAACTTCCATGATCAAAAGCTAAACTTGGCTGACAGAGTTTGTCATTCAATCACTCAATGCAAATCAATGATCATTACAATGCATAAATCAAGATATCACACTTCTAATATACATAATAGTCAAAAAGAAAACTCCAGGCATATTATGAATCATTCAGCAAGCAGCTACCTGTGGTATTTGACGACAATGAATATGTCTGAATTCTCTAAAATGCTTATTAAGATACTCTTGCAGCTTAGCAACATCTTGTCTCCGAAAAATGTCCCAAACAGCACCTCCATCAGCCAATTCTAACTCACTTTGAGGAACATCAGATGGCTCACCACTCTCTCCACTACTACCTTGATTTGCAATTGCCTCTGCTGCATCCTCCAGTTCAGATCCTCCAGATTCATCACACTTGTCACCACTCTGATTATCATTAGCAGGTGCACCACAAGATGTACCGTGGAAATTTTCATCTACAGACTGAGTGACACCGAATATCTCCATTTGATCTTGGGCTTTGTGCCTCTGTTTCAACTTCTGTATAGCCTTAAGATGTCTAGGTTCAAGTTTCACTTCAGCAGTATGTGTCAAAACATTCACCTGAAACAGAAAATTCAGAAAAATAAATAATTTCTCTTAAGCAACAAATTCAAATTGAGACTGATTTAAAATCCGTGATTTCAAGGGACTGAAGGAATTTGGACACTTTTCGCAGTCACAACCTTTGCAGATACTTTTAGTTTTACAAAATTACTGAAAAGGCAACAGTTCCCATGGACCTAAGATCATTTCAAATACTTTCCAATTTGGAGGATTTGTGAATGATTGCCAAAAGCCAATCTACACAGTAATGTAGGTGACACCAATATAGGGTGCAATGTAACACCTCTTTTGTTGGTGACACCTAAATGGTTTAATAGCGCATCCAACAATGATCATTTTGGTTTTGGCGGTGTTGGAAAATGCAATCCAATAGCCAGTGGTTGGCACCAAATTATCATTTCTTTTCCGTCTTTCAAAATTTTAATAAATTATTTGTTAACATTTTTTGTGAAATTTTGTATATATTCATTACATAATTATATAAATATCTTTTATTATTATAAAAAAAATTATAAAATAAAAACATGTTTACTATTAGTCTTTAAAGATTCTTGTTTTGTGGTCTGAGTTACCCAAACCAATTAATTAACCCACCCTACCCCAACAGATTCCTAACTTTAAGTGAAGGGTTGGGGTGGATTGTGGTTTATAATTATCAGGTGGGGTTATCTTGAGTAGTGGGTTGCCTGTTAGCTCAAAGAAAAAAAAAAAAAAAAAAAAAAGAGGAAGATGAAGCCAATGAATGAAGCAAACAGTTGCAAGTAAAAAAGAATAATATTATACCGCATCAGACATATCACAGTGAAGCTTGGTAACAGAGTCTCCACGTCCAAGCTCTTGAGCAACCCCATAAGCAATATATGTCTTTGGCCCCATGTCTGGCTTCAGAGATTTGTCAGGCAATTTGGTAGCAAGATTCAGAGCACCACCACGAGGATGTGTATATTCCTTAAAAGGCAAACAAGCCAGAAACTCAATGTTATGACGAGGTAAGCGTTCCTCAAATAAATTAGATGGCGGCCAGTCCTTTAACTTCAATATTTGAGGCCACGATTCCCAGTCATAACGACCATCCGTGTAGCCTTTAAAGAATTGGTGAATGTTGACCTCCCCCTGCCATTCATTAACGTTGAGAAACAAATAACCAGACTATAAACAGTAAATAAAGAAATAAATAAAAAATGGCAAGTAAATATCATTGACAAGAACCATAGACAGACCCCACAAATATGGAACTTTTCAAGCAAAACAAGAAATTTTCTCACACAATCAGCAAACTAAGCAGAATGTAATCACTTTCTAGCTCTTAACATGAAAGTCATATAAACTAATCCACTAGAGAATTGTGAACTCAGGAAAATAAACATATATATAAGCTGGTAGACAAATTTTTCAGCAGAAATGAAAAACACATAAAGCAAACACTTGAAAAAGTAGCAAGAACTCTCTTTGGTAAACCCATTGACATACATGGTACATAATTTATAATAATTTCTTAAGTAGTAATATCTATTATTCTCACTTCCTTAGCCGCTAACGACAACATGAACTTCTAATATTCACCTGGAAAAAACATTGACCTTTAATCTCTTCTACAACAATTTCAAAATAACCCAAAAAAAAAAAAAAATGAGCACAAGCACAAAAACCTAGCTCCTGAAATTGACAAGGCATTAATTTCCTACATGTCAGTTGGTAGTTTCCACTGAGACTTCCAGATGGTAGGTAAAATAGTTTTTTTTTCTAAATTCTAAACCATCTATGTACAGGAATCTGGAGTATGCAATTAAAAATTACCCTATAACTAGTTGAGATTCAAGGCAAAATGTTGATCTATGTCATGCTTGCAAATACAGAAACTGTCACATATACAAAAAGAAAAGAAAAAGTAGGTCATTTGGGAACACATGTAACTCGATATTATAATCTACCTGATCTAACTCATATTACTATTGAGGTTTTTGCTGATCATTTTTTTTATGGTCTGGACTCTAGCCAAAACAAAAAATATTGCACTTTGTAAAATGAATGGCATGCAAAAAAATTCCAGCCAGCAAAGTTTATGACACTGTACTACAACAGTATAAATAAACTGACCTCACACCAATCCAAGCAATCAATAGCCTTAACATCCAGATGTTGGCCATGCTTTATATTTGTAATCTGACGAAAAGCGCGCCACATAACCATTGGTTCCCAACTCAACCCCAATGCACAGTCAAGCACATTGCTGACTATAACCGGCTCGCCTTTAGCCCAATGCCACTGGAAATGCTTTAAATCTCCATGCTGAATGTCTTTAGCAACCGGGTTATACAAATAATTATCGATTGGTTCTTCGCCAGCGAGAAGCTGGCTTTTCTTAATTGATTGTGCCCATGTCAATCTCACCTGCTGAGTTGTGAACAATTGCACATTTGTTCTGGAGATTTAGGCATATCTTCAAGATTATGAGCTTTGACTACTTCTTCAGCCTTTATCACCATTCAGCAACCCAATTTCTTGTAAAGATAGACCTTAGTTCCAAGAGGCCATCACCACAGCCACCTAATTCCTTTGGGGCAAGGAATACCACCATTCCCATTTGCCTTCCAGTCAGGTATTGACCTATTCTGATCCTTAGAATTGACTCAGCAGTAGATGACCTGTCTTTTTCTGGAGACTCAGATTGTTTCATATACCATGCAAGTATCCCAAACCTTTGGCTTACAATATTCCACAACTACTTCCTCACCTCCACCCTGCAAGTGGCCATCACGCATTTCCCGGCACAAACAAGGCAAAGATCATACTTACAGTTTGGACAGCTTCTGTGAAAGTCAACAATTGAAGTTCGACAGTTGTCACTGTAAAATTATGACATGGCACCAAAAGTCAATAAGGAAATGTAGCACGGTACAAAATGACTGCTTGTTAAAAGTTATCTTAGGAAAGAATCACATACCAGTAGACACGCTCAGTATTAGACAATCTGCCTTCCGTGGCTGAATTTCTAACAGTGATACCCTGGTCATTCAAAAATAACTTAGCAAGCATATATAGAAAAAGAATATCACTTGAACATATATGGTATGCTATGCATTGCAAACATGGCTGATGCCATATACGTCTTTCAGAAACTTGCTGAGAAAGCAAGAATATGGAACCACCTTTAAGAGAATGAAATATTATGCCTGCCGATTAAAGTCTAGATAATCCTCTTTAGACGTTGAAATGAGTCACCTTAGCTCCTACCTAATGACAACAAGGTCTACAAAGCAAATGAATGGAATGTCCTCTTATTAGCTCAGATACAATGGCACCCCCAGAGAAGTATTCATAGGAACTTCTTTTATGTCCATTAAAAGTCACTGTAACAGGAATTTCACTTCAAGAAGACTTGCCTCGGGCCTTCTGATTTAGCAACAAATCTTTATATAAAGTAATAATTAATTTGGAAAAGAAGATCAATAAACAAAAGGCTCAGTAGATTGGAAATTAAGCAGCTTATTCTGAATTAGCAAAAGAATGACTAAAATTCACATGATGCAATGATTCCAAAACAACCTACTAGAATACTAAACCAGCACAAGCATCCAAGCTAAATGATCTTAATACCTAATATCTGGGCCTCCATCTCCAACTCTTTCATTTGTCTTCACTAAATGTTCTGATGTAAGGGAGAAGAGCTCGAAGTAAATGCTTAGAGTGCTGTTCTTTTTCAAATTCTGCTGTCTTTCTTCAATTTCTTCAGGTCATCCTAAATAAAATAAAACATATCATAGTTTGCATGACAAATGCATCAAATTATGAGAGGACTCGAGATGAAAGGAAAAACATACTGTTATCACTCCCTCCATGCGTAAGCATGTTTTGCAATTGCAATTACCCAGACAAACTGGACAAGAAGAAGCAATTTCATCCTCTGACATCTTAGGATACCTAGATGGAATAAAATTGAGAATTGAAAAAGAACGTTATCATGAGAAAGCAAAAAAATAAAAATACAACATAAATAGTAAAATCCAAAAATACTCAATTCTAAAATGTAAGAAACTAGAGACAACTAATTCACTGATATATCTGTCATGAACATTAACATTGTGCCACTGACGCATCAATAATAACAAAGTAATGCCAGGTATTCTAATTCATACCCCAAATTTTCCATCCCAAGAGTCTTGCCATGTGGCATTACCAATCAATTACTACATCATCTCATCTCTAGAGTTAGAACCACATCCGAAGACAAGTCATGGGATGGAAAAATTGAATTAGACTTGTGAGTACAGCACTTACTCATAATATGTCCTATCTACACTTTTTCAAGCTATCTAAATTTCTTCCATTCTTTCAAAGGTGAACCACAAATAATACATGTTCATCTATGTTAAAACCAGACAATTTCAACAAACATATTCTAACATATAAATTCAAATTTTAACATTGATATAGAGTTTGAGGGCAAGCAGGTGACAAGCAAAAAAACTCATGATGCTCTTACAGCTATACGGTTACAATAGTTTAAACATCCCACAATTTAGTCCAAAAGCTTAATAGTTCCTAATAAATTATTTTTTTAAGTAAATATTAATAAATAACTTTATCCACATTTCATGATCCTAAAGAATGCTTAATGAAGACAAGCACTTCTAACACCATCCACATTTAATAGCATAAAAGCAATTAGCATTCACGATTCATTTCCACCACAATGATACAAACAGAGTTACTTTTCCAATAGCAAAATTCAAATCGATATGGAAAAATATTCCAACACAACAAAATCTGTGATAACAAAATATAAACCAAAACAGAGATTCAACCAATCACATATTCGCTTTTGCAAGAAAAAAAATTCAATGAAGTTAATTTTGTGAGAAGTTGTTATACCAATTTGTTATGCATGGGATGCACAAACCGCTTTGTTGTACATTTTTGGCAATTAACAACCCTTCCTTTGTCATTTCTCGGCACTGATGGCACATCAACGACTCCCCTCCATTCCCCTGTTATAAACAAATTAAAAATTAAACCAAAAAAATATATGTATATGTAAAAACTCCCACTACCACACTATACAGGAGAAAATTCTTACATTAGGTTTTCCTTTCTTCGAATCCTTCAACACATGTTGCAGTTTTTTGTCGAGTCTCCTCGTGAACAACAACGCAAATGGTCTTCATTACACATATCACTAGCAGTTTCTCTTTCAACTTCTTCCCTTGATCCTTTGGTCCTCTTCGTCTTACCTTATTCTCTCACCATCTTCTTCCTCCAAAACCCAGATTGTTTTTTCTCTTCAGAATCTCAAATCATCATTTTCTCTAACTTCAACATTCTTCTCATCCTTTGGCAGTGCTTCTGATTTTTAAACTTCTTCATTCTCTTGCTTATCACTAGCACCATTTTCTTGCACTGCCATCAATTTCTTCCTCTTTTGCTAACTTTCCGACCTCTCCTCCCCCTCTTCCTCTCCCAAATACCTTCTTCTTCTTCATCGTCTACTTCATATCATTATAGTTTACTTTCTTTCCACCACCTCTCGTCTCTTTTTCACTAAACTTGTTACATCATCAACCTCCTTTTTATTCTCAGAAACCCATTACCTCTTCCTCCTTCACAGAAAACACTCTTCAACCGTCAATTACATTTTCATATAATTTCGCTTCCTTTCCCTCTCACCTTGAAAACCCTTTTATCTTCAGGAACTCCACTTTCCTTCTCTTCTTCAATACTTTCACCATTTTCCCCAGCCAAGTTCCAATTTTCCTTCTCTTTATTCTTTTCGCCACCTTCCACGTTAAATTTCCCTTATTTCTATTCCTTCCAACTCCCTTCTTCCCAGCATTACTTCACTTTCCTTAGCTTTACTCCATTCCCTTCACCAAATTCACTTATTCCACCTCATTCCGCAGACTTTCCTCCTTTGAGAAACCCCATTACCATTATTTTCGTCAATTGCCGTCCCTTCCGCTCCAATTTCCCTTTCACCATTCCCGTTTCCAAGACCTCTTCTTTCTTTTTGGGCTTTCGCCCTCGCTTCTTCGCCACAAACTTCTCCCTTCTCAGACTCACAATTTCCACCCACAAGTTCCAAACTTCCCGGCGCCCTCACCGGTTTCTGCTGCTTTCTATTGCGTTCCATGAGTTGCAGCAACAGAAAAGAGTAAATCAAAAGACAGAAAGAGAGGGAGTGTGAGAGTGTATTTAATATACAAAAAGTGTATTTCAACTACTAATTTGAATCTGCATAAACTACGGACTGAGAGAGATATTAAATAGGGATTCGGAAAAGGGACTAGGGTTAGGGTTGGTTACCGGGTAAAAATAAAAAACAGTGGGTGAGGGATTTGAAAAGGGGCGCCAATTTAGGGTTAAGTAATACTTAGGAGGGAAATTAAGGAGTAATAAATAAATAAAACTCAAGGAATTGACAGACAGAAACACAAAAGCTCGGTATGACTGTCACGCACAAAAGACGCACCGTGCTTTGTGCCTCCTCTCCAGTCTCCTCCTCCTTCTCAATTCTCAAAAAGAATGACAATCCCCCAAACTATAAACCATGTGCGGTTTTCTTGAGTTGTAAAAGGCATTCAACTTCCCACCTAAGGCTAAGCTCATATTAAATTAATTAATAATAATATGAAAAATGCATCAATATTATTATTTTTAGGATAAGGGATTTATTTATTTAGGAGCTTCATTCACTCTCTTACCAATATAATTTGAAACTTCTGCCAGTAAAATTGTCATACTTAGGTATACAGTGTGAATGTAATCAAAAGAAAAAAATAATAATATAAAACCTATATATTCAACAAAAAAAGATTGCATCAAGATCGGAGAACAAATATATATATATATATTATATAATATATATAGATATATATATATAAGCCGTGACCAAATGAAAATGGATTCGTAAAGTAAAATAACTTACTGTTAAAAATGCAAAATAGAATGGAAACAATTGGGACCTGTTTGTTTCACTCCTTTTAGTAACTTTGTATTATCCATTGGATTGAAAATAAGAATATGTGTTTGTTTAGTTATTAGGTTATTTCATTCGAAAATTAATCTAACTCAAATAAATTTTATTCGTTTGAGTTGGAAAAGTGGATGGGACTTGTTTCTATTATCCTAATCTATTCATTAACAATTACTTTTTACAATAAAAATTTATAAATTAACAAAAACATCATATTCACCCACGTCACTTTTAATTGCCAGCAATCATCGCCGATCGCTAGCATCAAAATAATGCACGATTGTCCGAATTTGGTCAATCGTGCATAATCTGGCTATTGACAACCAAATCTATCATAGCTAGAGATCTAGTTTTGACGATTTTAACATTAATGATGGCCAGAAATATGGTTATAGATCTAACCAAATCCAACTGATTGTGTGTTGTTCTGATGACAGCTTCCATCGTCCGCAATGGTACCAAACAGACCCAATTTTGTAAGGTCAGTGGGGTCATACCCCTTGGTGTCTCCGTCCGGACACATATCTTCAGTATGTCACATAAATCATAATTCTTGCGGAAACGACTTACACCTACCCAAGGTTTGGCGAAATGGTGATTGGTACCCAAAGGTTTCAAAACGACAAACAAGTACCTTTCGTTAGTGAAAGACTAGAATGCGCTTTGAGAAATATTAGTCTATTTTTGTAATTTATTTAGACCCCTTAAGTTATTAATTCCTCAAATACCCCAGAAAAAAGTTTAAAAATTAACAAAAACACCCTCACCCACCCTACTTGCCAGATTCCGGCGGCCACTGCTAGTGGTAGCGAATCTACACAACGGTTCTACGCCACCACTGAAATGGCCGGTAATTTACTGATCTAGCCTTCCGCCAGATTTGGCCGTCGACGGCCGCAACACTCCGACGCCAAAGATGTGCCGTCTTTGTCTGTTAACGATGGCCAAGATTTGGCCGTCATTACAGTCAACGGCGGCCATTTCTTGGCCGTCAGTTTCCGGCCAGATTTGGCCTTTTCACCTCAGATCTAGCCTTTTCACGTTAGATCTAGCCTTTTCCGGCCAGGTTCATGGTGAATCTGGTCGGAAAAGGCCAGATCGGTGAATTAACGGCCATTTTCGGTGGTGGCGTAGACCTTTATGATAGATCTGGCTACCATCGGCGTGGCTATCAGAATCTGGCAAGTATGGGGGGTGGGGGTGTTTTATTAATTTTTAAACTTTTTTTCTGGAGGTATTTGTGGAATTAATAAACTTAAGAGGTCTAAAAGTAATTAAAAAAATAGACTAATATTTCTCAAAGGACTTCTAGTCTTTTCACTAACGAAAGTACCTGATTATCATTTGAAACCTTTTAACACCAATCCGTTTCGTCAAACCTTGGGTCGTGTCGGTAATTCTTGCCTGTGTAACAAGAAGCAAACTGAAGGAGTCTCGACAGAAACTAACTTTGATTTATATGTGTGTGTGTGTGTGTGTGCGTGTGCTTGTGGAGAGAAATAGAGAGATTTTAGTATCACTCAATACTCAACTATATATGATGATGCATGGATGAATAAAAACCTTCTACACCAATGAGAAGCTACAAAATAAATACTGTCATATCATTTATGTTGAGTGTTAAGCCAATGTATTTGAATTTTATGAATCTCCAAGATTTTCATAAGAAAAGTTTTGAAGATTTACTATTTGAAATTAAAAACCCTAGTACATGTAAAAACAGAGTAAGGTGGACTGTCACTGAAATGATGAATTATAGAAGATTAATGTTGGAAGCAGGAGTCCATTCCTAAACTTTATCACAACGAATACACAACTAAAAGGATATTCCGAATCAATAATCAACCAACACCTTTGTGATCATAAATCTATGCAAAAACAACCAAGGCTGAACATAGTATTAGTAAATTTAACTTGTTGACCCTCCTCCTTTTTTGTAATTAAGGAACACGGCCCTTGGTTTTGCTTAATTATCACAGGCTTGTCTTGTTCCTCATTCAAAAGCACCATAAAATATATGCATCATGATGGACGACCCTCGACTAGTTTATCAATCTCAATATCTTAGTTTGATGCTGTCAGGGAAAGCAAAGCAACCCACATCCAATGTAAGAAATCTGACTAACGTAAACGCTATCAGAGTTTACCTTTGTTAAAAACTTCCCTTTAAGAATGATACCTGTAATGCATTGGCATAAACTGCGACTGCATCACGCCTATTTTAGCTCAGACAAATTCCGTATGTAAAGGAGGAGCGGAAGAATGAGAAACAACAACCAAGAGGGAAAAAAAAAAAAGAAAGGCATAATCTCATTGACTTTTCGAAGGTTTGGCTATATTTACAGAGATAACCCACTGGAGTATCTTTTTGTCGATGACCTTCCATGAAAAAAATTATTACAAGAAATTCCATGAAACTTAAAGGGAAGTTTTAAAAAAATTATGAGAGGTAAAAAAAAAAATATTTAGACTTCTAGAGGAGACTCTTATCGAATTATGAAATCAATGGGGTTGTGCTTCTACTCCAGCCAACCTTTAGAGAAACTTAAGGAAGCCTCATGAAACTTATTCAAAAACAAAGGAAAACAAACAGAAAGGGAAAATAACGGATTATACTTGAGAAGATCCAGGCATACAAATGTTTCCAGCATGTAACTACAAACCGTTGCTTTTAATATTTTTTACCCTAAAGCTTTTTTTGAAGTTCCCAGGCCGAAAGTTGTTTCTTGGTTTGAATTCATCAAAATTTTAGTAACTCCTCAACCATTGCTTGTCAATCTCCAAGAAAGAATCGGCAATACATCATTTCTTCTACACTTTTGATTTGTTATTTGGCTGGCTTATAAAGTTGTGTAGATGGTTATCCTTAGTTTGAGAGTCTGCTTCGCTGAGCTTTATTACTGAAATTTTTGGAGTATTTGGAAGCCAAGAAAAACTTTGATAAAGATGAATAGTAAAAGCATTGCACGTCTGTTGCGACTGAGAAATATACAAGAAATTTAATGACAAAGAGGAGATTTTCAACTACAAACTATTCTTTTAGCTCTTTTCGGAATTGAAGTGTTGTTTAGACCAATTTTCTCCTTCCTTGAGTGATTAGACTAAAAGGAAGCAATTGCTATTAACCCGTCTTCTACATATAAAACTTTTATCAGGTCATATTCATCCGTATTTATGCACATGCTGCCTGGTTGAAAAGCTATCAGAGGTACATGGACATTCCGGTTCAAATGAAAAAAGTATTAGCAACATTCATAGGGCTTCCAGATCAATCTAGCTAATATATAGCTAATATATTAAAAGAACAAAACTAATTTTAACAAAAACACATATAAAAGAAACATAAAAGACAACTCCATCCTTAATTTTCATAATTTCTCTTTTTTTTTTTTTCATTTTTTCTTTGTTTTTTTCTTCTGAATGATGCCCCTTTATAACCTTCTTTGTATGGTCTTTATAAATAACATTTTTCTTTTAAAAATATTTTCTGAGGGCTGGGCATCTGGGATCAACCAAAAATGGTTACACAAACATTGAGCTTCCAGCTCCGATAGATTGATATAAATAATAAACAAGAAAAGCAAATAGTACAAAATTTCTGGCTAATTAAAGATGAAAGGAGAATTTGGAGTCTAACGAAACTTTGATTTCATTACAATTAACAAGTTTTAAGCCTTCTGTTTCTTGGCATTCTGTAGCCACCAACCACACAAGCATGGTCTCGCTCAAAAGGCTCCAATGTCACCTGCTCAGAAGGTTTGAACTGCTCCTGTTGCAGCTTCTTCACTTCACTCTGGAACACAGCTCAGCAGGGACAGTGGAATCTATGCAATTGGCCTGAGATGATAAAACACAACCTCAGTCATATATCAACAAATCAAAAAAGATTTTTTTTTTTTTTTATTTTTTGGCTTAAAATGAAAGGCGCACAATGGAGAAGAAAACATATTGTTGTACATCAAAGACAAGTGAGTTCTCAAGATGACTTCAAGTTTTGCTAAATTTTCCAAAGTACTCTGAAAATGAATGCAAATTTAAATTTATACTTCATCTTATCTTAAGGCAAAATCATAAACTTCCTACGAACAACGAAATATAAGGAATAACCTATAAAATCAATACCAACCTTGATTGAAATAACAAAATGACCTCCAGCTTTGAGAAAATAAGATGCATTCAGAGCTAAAATTCTTGCCTGTAAGAAAATTCATAAAGCAAACCGGCTCAGAAATATAAATAAACATAACAGTTGCAAACCACCTGCTCCAGAAAGCTATGAAATCGTATGATAACAAATAACAAATAGAAAGAACGAAGATTACTCTGTGTGCAGGTGCAAGTTGAAATGTTAAAGAACAAGTCCATTTACAAAATCACAAGAAAACACAAAAACGAGAAGGTAAAAAAATGTGAAAAGACACATTTAACATGTACTAACCATAGTTTTCATTTAGCACAAATGCATTTAACAACAAGTTCAGTACCATAGCAATGAAGGTCCATCACCAGCATCCACAAATGAATGCTGGTGAAACATTTTCTTGAAATTGCAAAATAAGATATTTAGTCAAAGAACCACCATTATTAGTTGATGGTTTTTCTTTGGATCTGAAACAAGTCTTTTTCCAATAAGCAAAAAAGTTAACTGAAAACCAAAATTTATTTAACTGTACAAAGGAAACACATGATAACTTTGTACAGCAGAGAAAAGACAATAAAGAAATCAAGAAAGAAAATGAAAGAAACCAATGATTTAATGTACCAACGGCAAGCATCAGAAACTCGGGCTTCATCACCCACAATGTCATGAAGGGGAATCCAGTAGATCATCATATGCATTATATAACATAAAAATCAATATTTGAAAAGAAAATATAAGAAGGAAAACGACAAGTTAAGAGAATATGCAAACAAAATCAGATCTCTGAGAGTTCCTAGTATGAGGAAACATCCCAATCTATTCAGGTAGAAGAATGCAAACATAGAAGTAAAAACAATATACCATACATGAAATCCAAAAAATCAAGGAACACATGCTACTTTCTCCAAAATAAAATTTTGAAAAACAATCAATCGCAGGTTTCGAAAACTGAATCAATACACACATCAGATTCTCGAGTTTGCATCACCCATAATGTCCTGAAGGGGAATCCGAGTAAAATTCATCATATGTATTATTAAGAAATAAAATAAAATAAAATCAAAAGCTAGACAAACATGAGAACAATATAATGAATAGTAATACAAGCACCACTGAGAAATGGTGCAAAAAAAAACTCTCCACTACTGATTCCGACACCTAAACACATAACCATTGGTTCTTCATTTCCCACTGGTAAAATTGTAAATTTGATTCTATATGAAAACTGCTTGAAGGATGCCTAAGTGGAAATATGCAGGGTAGCAAACCTGATCGGGCTGAGCAACATCAGAAAATATAACATCCACCATGCCAACCAACATCCGGTACTTAGCTGGATGTCTAGCATCCTCAATGATAGAATACATTTGTTCGCTTTTTTGCCATGTTGACTAAGTCTCTACCACTTCTATGAGAAAACCAACTGCATAAAACCACAACCCTCCTATAGGGAAAAAAAAAAAAAAAAACTTGTAACAACTTTCAAGACAAAGACACATCAAGAGAAAAAAACTATAGTTTCTAATCCATCACTCACAGGGCCAACAATATCAGACACATGAGAGACAGTTGTACCAGAAGCAGCACCAAGGTAGAGAACACGAGCACCCGGTTTCTAAATCAAACAATACAAAACATTGAACATAAATTATCAAACTTAAAAACACTAACAGAAACTATAATCACCATTGGGAAACTACAATCCATTATTATCAACACCACCCAAGAACAGCAGCTGCCAACTTTGAACGGAAGGGATTCCAAACTCTGTATTCAACTTTAGTTCCATCTTCATTCTATAAAAACAAACATATATCAGTTAAGAAAGATTAACTAAACAAAAGCAAAAAACTCTATTTAAAAAAAGTAGGACCTGAACAGCACTCTCTTCTCATTGTAGACAGCTACACCAGGAACCAAGTTCTTAGTGACAGGGCGTCTTCTTTACCCTTACAATGAAAACTCCCTCGTGTCTATGTGGCTCAACCACAACCCTGCTTCCACCTCTCATTCCACCTCCACTCGTCCCCACCGCGGCCACCACCTCGGCCGCCACCACGGCCTCTCATGGCGCTACCACCTCTTCCACCACTAAAACCTCCTCTACTGCCTCCTCTTCCTCTTCCTCCTCCATCACCCCTGCCCCTCTAAACCCACACCACCACCGCGGCCTTAACACAAGAAAGAAACCCTATTAATATTCACATCGATATTAAATCTAACTAAATCTTTACACACAAAAAGTTATTTGCTCTAGTTACCTCTTGGGGTCATGTCTGCAACTCCGAAGGGGCTGAGTGTGAGCTTGCGAGTAAAGAAGCGGGGCGTTGTAAAGTACCGGTTTAGGTTTAGGTGGTGCTTTTTAGGCGGGACGTTTAGGGTTTAGGGTTTTTGTGGAGGGGTGGAAAACTCATGGGTCTAGAATCTAGATAGCCCAGTAAACCAGGGCCCAAATTGATTTCATATTTGGGCCGCTGGGCTGAGCTATAAGTGGTAAAAGAAAGCACCTCTATAATTCATTAAAATTTAATATTTTTTTAAATTATAAAATTACTTTTAAATGATTTATTAGGCATCATAAACACTTTTCACACCTCACTTGGTGAACAAAAACTCTAATTATTAAGATTTTTTTTTTAAAAAACATTTTAAAAACAAAATTAAGTCCTTCATCTGTCTCCACTTATCATATTTTCAATATATATTCCTACATAACTAGAACTGCCCAATTTTATTTTCAATTTTTTGAATTTTAATTTGAATATCTGAAAGTTTGTAGATTGATAGTGACAAATAATAAGAAGGTTATGAAGTGGTGATATTCATAGAATTTTGGAATAATATAACAACAAACTCCACTTAAAAATTGACTCCTTAATTTTCCCACAGGCACTAATAGGGAGGATATAAAGGGTTTATCTTGTTAATTTCAAAATCTCATTGAATTAGTTAAGGTATGCGCAAACTTTCCAAACACTCTGGTCACCAAAAACAAGAAAGACTTCTTAATCTTTTTTATTTTTTTTTTTATTTTTTATCAAGGGATGTAATCCCCAAGACTTGGTCGGGTAAGAGCCTCAATAACTATAAATGGCTAGTATAAACCCGAACTTAATGCTCATCTAACCTCATATGCTCTCGCCATGCCAGTTGTTGACCCCTTAATTTAAAGAATAATACTTTGGTACAACGGATTGTACTAATCAGTTGTACTATTTTTGTCAAAATCACACATGATACTGTACTATGCTTTAAGTTAGTACACTGGGGTAAAGTCCGTTAGTACCCTATACTCTAATTTAAATTAACAAATTTTAACCCATCATAATCACAACCCAAAATATCTTCTTGTACAAATATCTCAATCCCTAGAGAGTATGAAAACTATAAGCCGCTCTCTTTCTTATCCCAACTTTCCGGAGAAGCCCCAATCGAAGAAAACAATGTCTACTGCGTCTGCATGTCTTCCTCTTTACACGCCTGTTACTGCTTCAAAGATAACCACCAAAACCTCCACATCAAGACCCTTCAGCTTTAACACTAGGAAATTCAATGGTCATGGAATTGGTAACTCTATAACGTGCAGACGCTTCTTCCAGGATATAAATATCGATCTTTACGATCTTCTGGGCATCGATAGCAGTTCCGACATCATCTCAAATAAAAACGCTTATCGTACTCTGCAGAAGAGATGCCATCCCGATATTGCAGGCCCAGCAGGACACGACATGGCTATTATACTCAATGACGTTTATTCTCTCCTTTCTGATCCACTTCTCGCTCGGCTTACGATAAGGTTTGTTTTAAAAAACTTACGAATAAGAAGATAGATATAATGAGTTGGAATGTTTAGAGTTTGTGTTGCTCTTCCAGGAACAATCCAAGATCGCTCAACTCCGAGGCTTCACTGGAAAACCTTTATACTCGTTTGGTTTTGGTGTTGAAAGTGAAAACAGAGCTGTGTTTGTTGATGAGGTGAAGTGCGTTGGTTGTTTGAAATGTGCGTTATGTGCAGAAAAAAACGTTTGCTATGAGTCGGTATATGGAAGAGCCAGAGTTGTGGGACAGTGGGCGGATCCTGAATACAAAATTCCAGGAGGCAATACAGGCATGTCCTGGTAGATTGCATCTCGTAAGCTTCTAAAATTACATACGAAATTGTCTTGTTGAAAGCTTAATTTACATCTCTAATTCTTTCATCATTCTCCTTCCAAGAATTGTGGAGAGGTCAACTTGGCAGCTCTAGAATACCTTATGTCCAAACAACCACGCGGTAACGTTAGAGTGGGAGCAAATGACTCAGTCGGTGCACGGGTCTCGAACATATTCGTTGATGTCAAAAATTCAAACAAAATATTTTGATGCCATGACAAAGCTGCTACAAAGGTATATATATTGTGCATATCCATTCTATAAATAACACAAATGGAAGTAAGCTTAAAAATTTCATTGATTGCAGGAGGAAGATATGAATTGGAAAGAAGAATGTCAGCAATTCAAGCAATCAGATCAATCTCAATTGGTTTCATTGGCAATCACCCCATCGGAAACTGACCAGAATTTGACGCATATCTCCCAGAAAACAACAGATCCAATATCAAAAAGCTTCGTGCTGCTGCTGCTGCCAGAAAACACCGCAGAGAGATCGGTACAAGAACAAAAACCCCATCAAATTACATATATCTTGAAGAGTATTGGAGTCCATCAACTCAACTCTTCCAGCCCAGCTCCAGTCCAGCACCGGCGCTTCAACCCACTTCACCAAGCTCTGGAGATTCCTCGGAGTTTTCAAAGAAGAAAACTAATGAAGAATTTATAGGGAAGAAATAGGAGGAGCCCCATTGCAGGGGACTATCCAATTGTAACAGCCGCAATTGCAGCAGGTGGTTTCGGTGAGCAAGTCGGTGAAGGAGGAGTGGTTGGGGATTAAAGGACATATAGGAGGGTCACTGGCATTGGTATTGTTAATACTCTTGGTTGCAGGTTATTTTAGCTGGGATTACATGGTACTACGTTGGAGTGGGAATGTGTGTGAAGTCATTGGAACCACTGGAAATAGGCAAGAGTAGATCCATACAATATGGGTGAATACAAATTATATGTCTGTACACTTTTTACTATCAACACAATTATACCACATTGGAAAGTCTCAGTTCAGTTTGACTAGAACTAAGATCTGAATAAATTCTGATAGTTTCAACAAGTAATCAGATCTACACTACCCACTCATCTATAAGGCAACAAGTATGGTACGAACTTGGTCCTCTTTCATATATAAGGTGACCATGAGTTAGCCAAGATACATCAAATTTGATTTTGAATCCAGTCATTTCGCTTTCTTAACGATGGAGCTTAAATTCTTGCTTATCGGCAAATCCGTTTGAATATGTACAACTTCGTTTATATCTTTAAGCATCACCCGAGGCAATTAACAAGAATAGATGCATTAACAATTGACTGGAAAAAGAAACTACCAAATAAATAATATTCTCCATGTACTGGAGTAATGCTTTAATTTGGAATATTTCCTATAAGATTGCAGCTTCAGAGAATTATGCATGTACTTTACAGTATAATCAGATTTGAGTGAAGAACTTAGAGTTCATTACACCCTGTGTTCAACTATTCTGTGACTCCCATTCAAAGGAGAAGCTTTCCACAACTACAGAAAAACTCTATAAAACCTTTGCAAATTCAA